CCCCTGGCAGAGGGCACAGGAGAGCTCGTCCTGCCCATGGGAACCACGAAGACTGGGCCCGATTCTGCAGCAGCACGTCAGCGCCCCGCCACACTGCACTGACCCCCGTGCCACGACAGGGGCTTTACGCAGGTGCAGACGGGTCTGTCCCGCACCCAGCGCAGGTTCCGTCTCCCAGAGCATCTCACAGCAGCTTCAGTCCCGGCGGGGGACGGGGCTGCCGGGGCAGCAGCAGCACCAGCCCCTTCCAGGGGAGCAGCTCCTGCTTTAGGGTGCTGGGGCCCGAACCCGACCGTGGGGGATCGGAACCCCCTGAGATAGGCAGCGGGGGATGCCGGGCGGGCCAGGAGAGCAAGTGCTGGATCGTCGGTTGAACGTTCCTGCGAACGTCAACACAATCATACACATATTTTCATTTTTACCTGTCTCACCCATTAACCAACTACGGAATTTCTCGGTAATCCCCAGCAGATGAGCATCAAAGAGAAGACCTATGGTCCAAGCTAATCCCTTTATTATGAAGTAATGCTACAGAAATCAAATACCAGCAGTAAATCGGGAGATTAACAGTCTGGGAAGTGCGCAAATTAAATTGTATTCTCCCTCGCTGCTTTGCCCCAGCCAATGGCTCCGTTTCTGCTGTGGCCACTGCAGCCCCCCCAGCAGGAAAACAAAGTTAGAAATCACTTTATAAAAATAAAAGACTCCTTTAATCCCTGCTGCAGTCAGGGAGCGGAGCCTGCCCAGAATGAGCCGATGCCCAAGCAATGCCGCCCCGTCTCCGAGCGCCTCTCGCCAGGGCAGGGGAGCACGTTTGGCTTTGCCAAACTCTCGGGGGTCAACTCTGGAGGCAGAGCTGTGCCCGGGAGAGGGGCCGAGGGCCACCGGGGACCCCCGGGGCACAGCAGGGCCCGGTCTGCAGCTGACCCCCAGCAGCATGGTTTGTGCCCTGACTCTGCTTTTATTGCACGGTAACAGCCAAATGAATATTTAATTCGTTCCCTTAAGAACATCCCCACAAATGCCCATTTCAATAAAACATGAGGATGCATTTTTGGAAGAGCCATCTAATGCTTCAGACAGCCCCATCACAGCCTATTAACCAGAGCAAACGCTGCGCTGTTGTATTTTTATCTCGGTGACTCTAATGGAGTCCCACTGTGAGGGAGGCGATGAGGAAGGTGCCCCCAGCCCCATGTAGCCCCCCCGGGGCTGCGGCTGCTCCTGCTTCCATCCCCGGGGCCAGTGGGATGGAGAACGTGGGAGCCATTCGCTTCACCCCCCCCGCACCCCTCTCGGTCAAACAGGGATGTATCTGCTTACGAGCCTGACAGAGAAAAAAAACAGAGAGAGTTTCTCAGCGAAAGGTATCAGCAAACTGGAAAAACACTGAACCACGGGCTCACGTGCAAACACGCACAGGTGCCGCGGGAGCTGCACGCACCTTCCACCCACTCGATTCATGTGAACTGGGTGAGAGGGACCCCCCTTCCCATCTGATAAAGCCGACTTTGGTTTTCCACATCCGTAAATATGTGATGGGAGCTGCATGGTAAGTTTTTTCCTGTAGCTGAGGTGATTCCAGCAGAAATCCTGCTGCTTCTGGAAAGAGGAGGTTTGGTCTCGTGTTTGAATTCACTGTGAAAGCAGCAACGAAGAGAACGGCCAGAGAGGAGCGAGCTGGGTGACAGCAGTGGGATGGAGGCGGCAGAGGTTACTTCTGCCTCCTCCTGCTACAGGGAAAAGGAGCCAGTTAAGTCTGAGAGGAGGAAATTTAAAGCCAGTGACAGAAAACGTTCCCCCAGCCCTACCCTGGGCTCTTCGGCTCCCGGAGCCAGAGGCCACCGCAGGTGATTTCCCAGCGGGGTGAGGTAGGGGCTCGCTGGCAGGAGTCCCAGGGGTGGTTGGTTACAGCAGCAAAACCCCCGGGAGAGCAGCCCAGAGCTGGGGAGGGGCACAGGCCGCCCCGCAGGCTGGGCGAGGGCAAGGGACCGCACGCTCGGCTCCTGGAGGCATCGGCGGCTCCCAGAGCCGCGCAGCTCGGGGACAGCGGAGCTCCGGCTCTGGAAGGGCTCTGCACTGCTGCTGACAGGGAGCGCTGATTTATAAAGCAGGAATAAATGAGGCTGCTCTGCAATTTCACCTAATTTTGTCTCCCATTTCAATTTGCCATCTTTCAGCGTAATGCCGGGTGGTTAATTATGTTTCCATCTTATTTCTCAGATAATACCCCCCTTGTACTGCGTATCGTAGCCGCTCAAAGGTTTCATTTTACCTTTCATTTCACCTCCTAGCACAGCTCTAAATTTAGTCAGCTTGTAATTTTGGGGTATTTTATACATTATGCCTTTATTATTGTGAGGTAAAATGGAATCCTTGCCTTTTAATTCACTCTCTAATAATTCTCCACTAAGCCTTAATACAAAAGGCTCTTTTTCCTGAAGACTAATTGAGTGGGGTGTAATTATAATACCCAGGGAGATGATATTGAAAGTACCTTAACTGTGACAGTTTCCTCTGACTAATCGCCCCTTCCGCGACTCGCAAGTCTCGGCTGCGCAAGCTCCCACCATTTACTGCACTAACGTGCCCAGAGCTGGGGGGGTTTGGGCCTGGTGCTGCTCCCGGACGGCATCTCCAGGTCTCTAAGCCACCGAGGCAGCCACAGGGGCCTCTCTGCCCCCCAGGACCAGCAGCCTGGTCCCAGGCGCAGAGAAGGGGACGCGGTGCCCGTGGCAGCCGCGGGGGTGGCACCGTCCCGCCGAGGGACCGAAGACGCGGGGCATCGCGCAGGGTCCTCGCCGCGGGAGCGGGTGCCCAGCAGCCCCAGCGCAAGATGTTCCCACCCCCCCCCC